CCCCCCCCCAGGCAGCCCCCGCCTGTAGGCACCCAGCTTGGGCAATCCCGGGGGCAACACTGCAGCTGCAGAGGGAAGCACTGGCCCCCTGCACAGCTCAGGCAGGCTACAGGAAAGAAAAAAAAAAACCCACCTTTTTTTTTCTTGGGCAGAGCCTGCCTTCCCGGGCTGCTGCCACGCTGCCTGCATGGGCTTCCTGCAGAGCTGTGGAGCTACACGGAACATGGTGCTTCGCTCCACGGCTGTAGGGCAGCAAACTAGAACTCCTTGGAGGAGTTTTAGTTTGCTGTGCCCCAAGTCATTTAAGGTGCATTACGCCACCAAATTTGCTACAGTGGCTGGAATTACTGCGCAATATGCTGCTGACACGTGCAGATGGCAACACCATTAAAATGATGCAAAAGCATTTAACCCACTTTAAAGTGTCATGCACTCATTTCATCTACACGTGGCCAACATGCCTTGACATTAGGTGGTGGGGGAGCATGTAGTAGCTTGTTTCCATTGAACATGTGGCTAGCCCAAAACAACTGTGGACATGACATGCATATTAGTGTAACTAACATCAGCGTATTTTTTCCTACTGTTTTTCCACAGGGTAACTATATCAAATTATAGTGTTTGCTAGAGCAAGTTACTATGTTTTGTGTCTGCTCCTATTTTACACTTGTGTAAATGCAGATTATGCTGTTGTAAATGTGCTATATGTCCAGTGCCCAATTGGGTTTTTTTGAAAATATGGCCCCTTAGCTGCCTGTCAAATGTCTTTTATGTTATTGTTACTATTGCCACAACTGTTTTTATTTTTCATCCCACTGAATGGACAGTTGTGTTTATTGCCTGCTGGGGACCAGTTTAACATATATATCTCTCATTCAGGGCCACTTTTGTGGAGCAACCTATTGTTGCATTGCCTCAAAAACAGCCCCTAAAAACAGATTGTGACTGGTCATTATTTGCCTCTTGGTTCTCATCCTGCTTGGGAGGAAAGCATACACTGCCAGCTTTTTCTCTGTCCATTCATCACTCTTGGCAAATTGTGTGCGAGGTTGGAGGAACAGAGAGGCTAAGCCAACATGACTTCTCCTCCCCTTTAGTTTCTCGTAGCAGGACAGAGGTAGGTCAGCCCAGAGCAGTGTGGGGTGAGGTAGGCTAATGTGCTGTGGCAGCGAGGCTTGGGGATGTGGGGCGGGGGAGCATTCGCCTGGGGCTGAAACCCTCCTTGGGCTCTTTGTGACAGCTGCTGCCTTCCAGCAGCTGCCAACTGCAACTTGACAGCTTGCCCTTCCCAGGCAATTAAATACACCCTAAGGGAGCAGCCCTCTAGTGTCCACTGGCTGGAGAGCTTGCCTGTGAAACTCTCCAACCCCCAGGATTTGAATACATGTATGCTCCAGCTCCCAGGCTAGTTTTCTACCAGTAAAAAATTAAGACATTCTTACTGGTAGAAATGAGTGCCTCTCTGTGGCCATAGTAAATGCAGGAAGGCATGATATTTCTTCTGTGGTCCACAGTCTATGAGAAAAGTAGAAGTTGCTATCCAGTCCATGGTCCACATGGTCCATGCAAGTATGGTATTCACGCTATCAGCTTAAAGGACAGAAAACTGGAGAAATGTTGCCATGCTTCTCATTGCAAAGATAATCTTTGAGGACTGGGGTCAGGTCCTAAGTCCATCCTTTTTTTGAGGCAAGCTCATACACACATGCTAAACTTTGACTGTAATGTTAAGGCCCTTTGAAACTAATGCTTTCCTGAATAGAGGTCCTAGAGCTAGAAATGTATATTGTATAAACTTTTTATTTTTTCAAATAGTATAAAAAGTGATCACTCAGTAAGGAAAGCGCTAATGAGGGGGGTTTCATACAAAATATATAGAAAACAATACCAGTGGATTCTGGGCTAGATTTGACTTTGTTTTAAAAGCTGTCCTTAAAAGTTAATTTTACAACTAAGAAAAAAATCCACCTACTCCTCTTCACTCCCCAAGTGTAGTTAGTGGGAAGTGATGCATCTTAAACATTAGTTTCCTACCTCTGCCACTTGCCCTGTATTTGGCATTTTCAGTACTGATGTTGTGTATTCAAAATGGCCCTAAACATAATGTGTTGAAATGTTTCAAACCACACCTCTCGCAAGATTTAGACATCTATGGCTGGCAGTTATGCACTGGCTTTCAAATCTAATTCATGCAGCTGCAAGCTTCAGAAATAGCAATGTAGCTTCAGGCTCTTACTCCTTAGATCAAAGGAAAGTTGATGTGATGGTGGGCAGTTGGTCCTTTAAAAGTTTTGTATACAGTACTTAGTTTTTCAGTTCATAATACCACAATGTTGTATCCTGTTCTGATTAATCCACATTTTAGTTTCAGTAAATGGTGCTTGATCTGCATCCATGAGCATTATTAAAAATGTTTAGAATGGCTTTAGAGAACTGGCTAGTCATTGAATGTAGGTCATTTGATAAGCTGATAGCAAGCCAGTGAATTCTAATTACAAGCTGGATCGTCATCATAAAAAAAACCTCTAATTTTTTTTTAAAAAGACACAGCTGCAAATATAGGACAGAGTTGCTGGGCTTGCAAATTAACTATTTAAAGGTTTTTTTTTTCCCCCAGCAGGGACTCTGCTGTCTGGGTTAAACACAGAACACTTAAAGATGGTGGAAACAGGGATTAATGTGCTGCCTTTTACCTGAGTCTCGCTCTTCTCCCTCAGGGAATGAGTGGTCACTGCCTCCATTATTTCTAATGTCTTACTCACAATGTTCTGTAATGCTTGGCAAATGGATTGCTGCCAGTGAATGTATGACTAGCACTAGTCACTTGATAAAGACTGTAAGTTGATCCAGGAATTGGAACAAAATAGGTCTTATTGTCCCATCTGATCATACAGACTTCTAAAACATTTCTGTATAACTTTAATACTGGAGCTCTCCAGAGTTAAGGAAAGAAAGCAGTTAATGAGCTCCTCAGACACTTGGTGCGTTGTAAATTTGACACTATTTATAGATTCCTATGCTGTGGAAGAGGAGATGTGGGTTTGCAAATTACATTTTAAGCTAGTAGAGCTAAATTCTTCCTGCCTTATTTAGTCATAGTGTCTCACTGAGGTCAACAGAGCTGCTACATGTATAAGGGGGGAAGAACTTTCCCTGTAGCTTAGGGGTTTGGAGTGCATTTATATCTTGTATGATAGGGGTTCCTGGGATGTCAGGAGTGTAATTGGGCTTTATCTCTTTTATGGATTTTGGGAGTTCACCCAGGACGTTAAATCAATCTTATGGACAAGCCAGTTCTTTCTTGTAGGCTCCATGCAATGTGTATCTTTTCCAAAAGGAGAAACTTCTTTTTGTTTCTCATTTAGCAAAGATGAAGAGCTGGATAGAGTCAGATATGTCCTACAGGATGGTCTCTTGGGAGCTGTAGCAAAAGCAGCCAGTTATTCTGAATTTCAGGATGATGTCCTGGCATCCCAAAAGCATCCCCGAAAAAGGACTTTTGGCCAAAACTTGGAAAATTGGTCCAAAATGAGCCCAACTGCCCCCCTCCCCCCCAGTTCCTGTGTCCTGAAATCTGCCAAAAGACCAAACTAATTCACCCAGGTGAAGCTCTACATGAACCTGGCTGTGCTGCTTCTAGTTTGGTGTTAGCTGTGAATTTGATGCCCAGAGTTGCTTGTTTTAGTTGTAGGACCATATTTTTAACTGGTGTAAACCATCTCATAGCTTCAATGACTTAAATGGGGCTATGATATTTTGCAAAATTTGAAGATTTGATCCTTAAAGATCTTGCTGTACCGCTCAGAGGAGGGCTGTTTCTTTGAATATAGTTCATAAAGACAATCAATTTCTTTTAATATGTTAAAAACCTGGAAAGTGTCACTGAATTTCTATATTTCACTTAAGAGCTTATTATGGCTAGAAGAATAAACTGTTGTATATGTAGATTTAACAGATTACAGTCCTCAAATGCTATCAGGCAACAGTTTATTATAAGTGGTGAACATTTTTACTGGGAAAGGCACTGTAATTGCATGAATTATGTTGGCATTCATAATGACAGCTGTCTTGCACTGGAATTTCTATAGAATGATTTAATATGTAGGCTTTAAAAAGAGAGGATTTTTTTTACCTTAACTGGATATATACATCTACATAAAACAAGGAGCCAAATTTGATAGCACTACATAGGTAAGTTTAGGAAAGTTTTCTAAAGTTAGATTTTCAGACAATGCCCTGCATTTAGTTTTACACTGGGGCAGTAGAAAATTTGAAGGAAACAGTTATAAATTATCTTACATTGTTAAGATAGATCAAGTGGCATGAACTATGATCAGCACTGACACAGGCTTCATTACAAGGAAATGTGCTGCTTACAGATGCTTAATAGTATTTTGGTTGTATTTTTGGCCTTGTGCATAGCAACTGAAACACTTTAGGAGTGGAAGAAAACAGAGAAGATGAAAACAAAGTTTAAAAAACTTCCTAACCTTAGCAAATCTTCCAGTTGAGCAGTCTCTTATTTAATTTCTTTTCTTCGTGAACTCTCTGAGATATCAACCAAGCCTTAAACTTTGCTGTGTCTGCTTTTTCCTACGTGGCTTCATAGAGTTCTCATTTCTCTCTCTCTCTCTCTCTCTCTCTCTCCCTCTCATTTTTTGGTCTGTTTCTCCTTTTGGTGTGGGGTGCCCTGACTTTCTCAAGCAGTTCAGGAGGCCGAGCAGGAAGATGTAAAGGTGGTAGCAGATGCTCAAGCTCCAAAATCGACTAAAAAAACCAAGGCAGCAGCTGCAAGCTGTCAAACTGGCAGCACCAGAAAGGAGAAAAAGGGGAAACACAAAGGTTAGCTGCATGATACTGAATATCAAATGTTGAATTTAATGGCAAGATACTTCTGTATGTTCAAAGTTTCTTTAAATTATTTTGACCTCGTGACAGCTGAATATTGTTTAAATGCATATTGTAAAAATGAATGCATTGGATTGGAAAATTTGCTTGGCTTGTTTCTAGCTCAGCACATTGCACACATGAAAGTGGAGGGGGGACGAAACTTGTTAACCAGATCTTCTCGCAGAGCCACATAGAATATTACCAGTGACAAACAGGGGAGGAGAATATATTAATGCAGCATTTTGCATAGAAGTTCTAGGCAATTATCTGCTAAGAGCAATTATTTTTCATATGTTCGTATATCATCTGTATTTATGGTGCCTCAGAGAAGCCATGCTTCAAATGAACAAATATGTATCCAAACTGACCCTGAGTTTTAAAAATTACACTAACTCAGGCTGAAATCCTGGCCCCACTGAAGTTAATAAAAGTTTTGCTGTTAGCTTTGGTGTGGTTCTAAAATTACAGCTTCAGAAGCACCAGATCAATGTGTAAATAAAAATCTTTATGACATGATTTTGGGTGCTAGTAAGCAGACGCATACAGTCTCTATTCTGAAAATAAATACTCATCATAGTGACAAAAGAATTACGAGAAATGGAATTACTGCCAGTGTTAGATGTAATAGCTGAACTACAAGAAGATAGATGGAGCAAGTGGGATGAAGTAATTGAATGCTCTGTAAGTGATTTGTTTTTATACCAGAATGAATATACCTTTACTTTGAAGGTAGATCCAAAGCCCGCTCAAATCAATAAGTGTCTTTCCATTGATTTCAGTGGACTTCAGGTCAGGTCATTATGGCTGCCTATAGACATACTCGGGGGTAGGAGGGAGGGGGTTTTAATTGGAAAAATTCTGGAACAGTCGCTGTAATTAAAATCTCATCATCACATGTATTAAGCTCCTGTGCATTTAAAAATGGCCACAGGATGCTTTATCTAAATCTCTTCCAACTAGGTTTAGCTAAAGCTCCCCTGCGGCTATTTTAAGACATGATGGGGGTTTAATACCCGTGATGGTGAGGTGACACTGGAGCGTTCTAATTAGTACGCAGAGCAGATGATTAATCTGACTAGAACGCTCTGACGTGTTCTAATTAGAACACAAACAAGCACGTGTTGGGGCAGCCAAAATCCCTATTTATCTGGACTCTGTGCTGTTCTCTCATATATGTAACTTTCTCTCCTTTACAGTTAGGTAAAATGTGTGTGTTTGCATGGTCAAGGATGCTGTTTATATATTATACAATTAGAACCTGGACAGATGTAACATTTGAAAGGCTTCAAAGAGCAAGTAGACAGGCATGCATACCTAAGACATGTTCTAAAAATGGCCAAAGCAGTCCGGTAATGACCCTGAATCAAAAAGCAACTTCTTTGAAGCCCTTCATTTCACTTATAGGAGATTACTTGGTCCTCCTGTATCCCATAGGGCTCTGCTCTCCTGTTCCTTTCCATTCTCAGGGGGAGGGAAGGGGACAGCAGAGCATGCAGCCAGTATGAGATCTGTGTACATGGCTGTCCTCATAATCCCTTGACCCCAAGAGCCATGTAAGGAAACATGTATGGATTCTGGAACCAGGAGACCAGAGGCTGAGCACACAGGAGAGCACTCACTGACTGTCTGTCCCTATCTCTTCCCTTCCCCATCTCCTCCTGCCTTCCCACTCTGAACCCTGGGGAAGAGAAGTAGAGCTAAAGAACTGAATAATCTATTGTTTCTTCTGGCTGGAGAGCCATGTTGCTTCATACTGTTACAGAGATTTTGTAGCATTTCAGTTTGGGACAGAGGGCAATTGGGAGCTATACATCTGTCCATGGTCTAAGGTTCTCTGAATTTGAAGTGCCCCAAACTGAAGTGGTATTTGAAGCACTTCAAATGGATGTTTGTCCAGGGCCTGAGTTAAGATCATGATACTGGGGCTCCTTCCCCTGTACAGACCTTATAGCATCAGAGCCTGCAGTAACAAATGATATTTAATCATGGCTGCTTACAGACATGGGGGCAGAAAACAGTGTTTTATTTTAAGTTTGGTGAGCCCCAGCACCGAGCGCAGTTCATGTCCATAAGAGGCATCATATCAGTTGAACCCGACTCGCCCAACATCTGTATAAGTCAGGCATGTTTAAGGGCTTTTTGGTACCTTTATCTAATAGCTGATTGAATCAGTTTTAGATAAAGGCATCAAAAAGCTCTGCTGACGTGCCCAATCTATACAGACACTGTGTAGCTGGGTCAAACTAATACGCTGCCTCTTCTGGTAAAGTGCTGTTTTGTTTTGTTTTTCACGTCTGTCAGTGCCCTAAGGGCCTACTTCTGCAGCTGTTCTGTTTGTGTCAGTAGCTTTGACTGCAAAGGAACACCTGGGTTGGAATGGCTGTGAAGTCTGCCCCCCTAGCTAATTACATTTTTTTGTAAGAATTACTGTTAAGCATATGTGCTTTAAAGAAGAGCATCGTTAAGCTGACCTGAATTTAAAACTTTTGGAGATTAAAAAAGAAAACTGGGAACATGGATTTCAGATGGAAAAAAAATAATTTAAAGGTAGAAATCTGGATACCAAGTCTCACCTTGAAGCAAATTTTACTGGTGAGTAAAACTAAAAAAACATAAAAATTGATGTTTGTAATAGAAGTGCTGACTCAGCCTGTACCCAAGCATTGCACATGGTAGTACTTAAATCATTTTTACTATATAATCACATAAATTCTGTTTAAACTCTCTTTAGACTGAATACAATAGCCATTTTATCTTGTATGGGACTTCATACTATATTGTGAACAAAAGGTAAAATATTACTTTAATTTTAACAAATTTACATGTAGTTGGGATTTGTATAGCACTCGAGTACATATAAGTGGCTGTATTATACATTCATCTGTGCTGTCTTACTCAACTTTTTTGGCTCCCTGAGTGAAATCCTAGTACCACTAAAGTCCATGACAGTTTGGATGTAGACTTCACTAGGGACACCTATCACAATGAGGGGCCAAGCCTGGTTGAGGTTCTTGGGCCTTATCGCATTGCAATTTCATTTGTGGTTTGAAGTGTGCCCTGTAAATCTTGCAGTACGTTGTATTGGTGAATACGTCCACTGGGGTCCTATTTGCTGGATAGATGTCTCAGTCAGCAAACATTTTTAGGTGGCACAGTTGCATCCTGATCTCTATATGCTGAGTAAGGAGGGATTTATCATATTTAACCTTTTATTATCTCAGTATTGGCTAGACATTAATGTTATTTTTTCATTCTAAGGATCCTGCTTCTTTGTTTTAAGAAAAGATTTTTAAAGAGCAACATTCCTAAATAGGCTCTTTGACACATTTTAGCAGAAATTCAAATTGTTATTGACCAATTAATAATAATCATGTTTAACTAAGTATATTACTTTAAATTGGATTATAATGTGAATGTGACTGTGTAGGAACGGCATCCTCCTACTCATTTGATCTATTCCTTATACGTTTTGTTAATTATATCAAAGAACACATGTTTTGTTCGATAAAATATTACCTATCTTGCGTCTCATAGAACCAGTGCATTTAAAGAAGAGTCAACTGGACTTTTATTTGGTTCTGCATCATTTTTTAAAATTGTTAGCTGAATTCTGATTGAAGAATCTTTCATTGTTGTTCAACCTGTGTGAAACATAAGGATCTAACATGACTTTTAGATCCTATACTGATATTACAGGGCTGACTGATAGAAACAACAAACAAACATGTAAATGAAGCAAACGTGAGGGATCACTTGGTATCTCATGGTAACATTTTTGTAAAGGTGTGATAATTTTATAATTACTTTTAAGCTTTGTAGAATAGTGCTCGGTTGCTAGTTATTTCAAAAAGCTGAAAGTGAAAATGTGTCTTTAGAGTGACATTAAGCATATCAATTGGCAGCAGATTCTAAAAATCACAATAAGTGAGTTATCTTCATACTAAAGGTGAAGCAAGATTATCATCTTAGGGCTGATTTTCACAAACACCTGCTTTTATATATTGGGCACTAATTATATATATATGATCATATATATGATCATATATATATTTTACCACCTGTGAAAGTAGACAGTCCTTAGGTGCAAGGACTTTTTATAACAAGAGGTACGATTCAGTGGTTAGGGCAGAGGCTTGGGTAGAGGCCGTTCTAGGTTCTATTCCCAGTGTTGTTACTGTGGGTATATCTATACTGTCTTCACGCTGTACCTGGATGCTGTTGCTTTAAACAATTCTGAGCATATAACCAAGCTGGAACACTCTCAGGGCTCCTCTAAGCAAGCTATGTTGCCTTATTTCTGGGACTGGTATAAGCAAGCTGATGTGTGTGCTTCTCTTCAGTGTCCCTTAGGGTCTGAATATGCTACCACTGGGTTATCCCAGTGACATAGTCACTTGTGTCCCTTCTCTAACTAAAAAATGAGGATATTTCATTGGAGTTGTTGTAAGGCCAAGTTTATGTTTGTAACGGGCTCAGAGATCTTCAGATGAAAACTGTTATGAACGTGTCAGTTGTTGTTTTATCCTGATAGTTTGTTAAATTATTTTGCTTCAATTTAATATATCCAGCATCAATACATTTGGTAAATTGCTGTATTCACAATTGTCCTAGGAGCTGCTGGTAGTTTTTGCTTAGCCTGGTTTGTTTTGTAGGGGATGTCACTATCGTGGCCTGAAGTGTGTGCTTACTAAAAAGTTAAATAATAGTTATGGAAATCAGCAGCTGCCAAAAACATTTCTCTGTGTTAGTATGACTTTTAACCCAGATGCTGTAAAACTCTGGTAGTACATGAGAACCAGAAACTGAAACTAGCTGGCATGACTGTCCAAACTATGCAAATGGGACTTGATCATGTAAGCAGCTAACAGCTCCTAGAATTTGTTTTTAGTCCTCCTAATGCCTGCCAGAGCTGGGAGTACTGATTCCAGGGTTTGATTGGTTTCTTTTGGGAT